TGCCTTCCCACTGGGCTGTTTGTGAAGTTTCATAAATAAATAAATACACATTCTTTTGCAGGTTTACTATTTTTTTTATTTTAGGAGCCTGGAAAGCAATGCACTAGTGATCAGCAGATTGCTGGTGCAAATGCAAGTCTCCTGCAGACTGTTAGTGTGAGCTGTCAGCCCATACATCATAGGGCAGGCAGTTTCACACTGACAGGAAGAATCAATGAACTACCACAATGCTCAGCAGTGCTCTGGTAGCTCATTGGGAATTACAAGCCAACAGCCACAAAGGCTGTTGGAACATGTAGTAGACCATTCACAGAACTCTGTGAATGAATGACGCAGCTGGAGTGGGCAGAGCTCCGTATGGCTGCATTTTATTAAAATTGTGACAGCTAGTGGGAAGGGGGGATGGAGAAGATCCCCCGATAGCTGTCACAATGGGGGGATCGGGGGGCTGCGATCATGTAACACTAACATGTTACACCCTAAATATGGGTGTTACATGTAACATGTTACAAAAGGTGAACTTATCCTTTAAACTCTGACTTTAAGTTCCATTTACTGCCATTCCATTTATTTGTTTACTGCCGCCAAACCACGCTGCACCTCCTCATACTTGGCGGCAGTCAGCAGGATTATGTCCCTTCTTTCAGCAGGCACAGAAGGAGTAGGCTCAAGCATGGCAAAGTTAGGATCGTCCCTGGCTCCAGTGCCTAAGTTTAACAGCTCCAACATATCTCTGGCTGAATGGAGGAGAGATTAGAAATCAGGTCCCTGCCTGGCTGATTGTGGAGCTGGCTATCAATTCCTTAAAGGATATTGCCTGCAGAGCAGTAATGGTGCTGTTGGAGGAGGAATAAGCCACCCTGGAACAGATTGTGGTGTGCCTGGAGGGCCTGTTTGAAGAAAATGTAATGGTCCCAGAGCTGAGGTGGATATTCTTTGTCCGGAGGCATCTAGAAGATGAGAGCCTCAGTCTCTTTGGGCTGAGTAGCTCCCCTAGCTTGTTCGAGCATCTAATGAAAAGATGGCTGGGAGATTTACACTTTGAGACTGTGTTTGTCTATTTGAAAGATATCATCATCTTCCCTAAAACCTTTGAGGAGCATGTTAAACACTTGGAGCAGGTGTTGGTGAAAAATACAAAAAATGAGGGGCAGTAAACTGGAGCTCAAATGGGAATGTATCCCTTTATAAGGTAAAAGAAACCACTCTTTCCACCAGCCCCAGTGTTTGCCTTGGTCTCAGGGGAACCCAATCCCATCAAAAGGTGTCTTACTGAAACCCTGTGTGCTAAGTGACAACTGCAGCGTGAGTCTGAGAAAGAAGCAAGAAGAAGTCACATGATCTTAGGCACCCATCCCTTAAGATGTGTTTTTTTATGTTACATGTAGACGTCATAATTCTCATAACTCAGAACCTTGCATGGCAAACATTAATACTGTTTACTCCAGCAATTTTCATTGAAGGGAGGGGGAACTAAACTTAGAGTTATATGTACTTTGATTGACAAGCCCACATGTAACAATCTATTCATGTTCTGAAATATGACTTTACAACTAAATCTCTCAGTTTTATTATTATTATTATTATTATTATTATTATTAATAATAACTTGTACAACATAAATGAAACAGAGAATATACTATATTAAAATATACTTTTTCATGATAATTTATAACTATATTTATTCATATGTATTATTTCTCTGCTAAACTGATCCTGTCTAAGCCAATTCCACCAGAGATCTAACCAGCTATGCCCATCTCCACATATTTGCTAAGCACTTTCTTTTATGCTCAGCTTCTAGCTAGTTAACTTTACTCCAGAAATATCTGGCATTTTCTCTAGCTCAGTCTTAACTGACAAACGTTACTTTAGACCACCTGCTCATTCATCTTAAATATGATTAATCATAAAAACCATATACAGGTGAAACTCAAAAAATTAGAATATCGTGCAAAGTTCATTTATTTCAGTAATGCAACTTAAAAGGTGAAACTAATATATAGACTCATTACATGCAAAGCAAGATAGTTCAAGCTGTGATTTGTCATAGTTGTGATGATTATGGCTTACAGCTCATGAAAACCCCAAATCCACAATCTCAGAAAATTAGAATATTGTGAAAAGGTGCAATATTCTAGGCTCAAAGCGTCCCACTCTAATCAGCTAATTAAGCCATAACACCTGCAAAGGGTTCCTGAGCCTTTAAATGGTCTCTCAGTCTGGTTCAGTAGGAATCACAATCATGGGAAAGATTGCTGACCTGACAGTTGTGCAGAAAACCATCATTGACACCCTCCATAAGGAGGAAAGCCTCAAAAGGTAATTGCAAAAGAAGTGCTGTATCAAAGCACATTAATAGAAAGTTATGCAGAAGGGAAAAGTGTGTAAGGTGCACAAGCAGCAGGGATGACCGCAGCCTGGAGAGGATTGTCAGGAAAGGGCCATTCAAAAGTGTTGGGGACTTTCACAAGGAGTGGACTGAGTGTCAGGGCTCCCAGGTATGACCAGAGGTGTGTGACTGAAGCAGGGAAACGCAGACTTCAGATATGTGATTAACAATGTAATTTATTAACACTAACAATACAAACATAAACGCAGTGCAATACTAAACATAATACAGTGCAAACAAACCCAACCAACCACCCACAGATAACAGTACATACAAGCAAGCGTCGTCAGGCAGGCCGAGTCAATATCAATTGGGCAGGTAGGTACAGGGGGAGCAAGCGGAGAATGGTCGGGGTCACAGGCCAGGTTCAGCAGGTAGCAAGCAGCGTAGTACAGAGGGTCAGGCAGAGGGGTGGTCAGGGTCACAAGCCAGGGATCAGAACAGGTAGCAAGCAGCGGAGTACAGAGGGTCAGGCAGGGGGATGGTCAGGGTCACAAGCCAGGGATCAGAACAGGTAGCAAAGGAACAGAAACAGGATGCAGGACAGATACAGGGCCCAGGACAAACACAACACCAAGGCAGAGTCTGTGGGTCTGGCCATCCCTTAAATACCCCAGCATCATCAGTTACAGGTGTTAGCTGGCTACAGAGTTGAGTCTCTGATTGCTGGGAACACCCGCTGGCCAGCCCTGGTACTGCAGATCAAAAGGCAGGTGAGTCCCACCATTGCTGGCCAGTCCATTCCTAACAGTACCCCCCCCTCAAGGAGCGGCCTCAGGACGCTCCAAACAGTCCTAGCTGGGCAAAATGTTCCACCGCCCGGGTCTGGCAACTGGCGGGATATCAAAGACTGGCACACCGGGCAGGACTCCGGGCAGCGGCACACCGGGCTGGACTCCGGGCAGCGGCACATCGAGCAGAGGCACACCGGGCAGAGGCACACCGGGCAGAGGCACATCGGGCAGGACTCCGGGCAGAGGCACATCGGGCAGAGGCACATCGGGCAGGACTCCGGGCAGAGGCACATCGGGCAGGACTCCGGGCAGAGGCACACCGGGCAGGACTCCGGGCAGAGGCACACCGGGCAGAGGCACATCGGGCAGGACTCCGGGCAGAGGCACATCGGGCAGGACTCCGGGCAGAGGCACATCGGGCAGGATTCCGGGCAGAGGCACATCGGGCAGGACTCCGGGCAGAGGCACATCGGATTACCAGGCGAAGCAGCAGGCAGCGGGCCACCAGGCGGAGCGGCAGGCACCGGGCCCCCGGGCGGATCGGCAGGCACCGGGCCCCCGGGCGGAGCGGCAGGCACCGGGCCCCCGGGCGGAGCGGCAGGCACCGGGCCCCCGGGCGGAGCGGCAGGCACCGGGCCCCCGGCGGGGCGACAGGCACCGGGCCCCCGGGCGGAGCAGCAGGCACCGGGCCCCCAGGCGGGGCGACAGGCACCGTGCCCCCAGGCGGGGCGACAGGGCACCGTGCCCCCAGGCGGGGCGACAGGCACCGGGCCCCCAGGCGGGGCGACAGGCATCGGGCCCCCAGGAGGGGCGACAGGCATCGGGCCCCCAGGAGGGGCGACAGGCACCGTGCCCCCAGGCGGGGCGACAGGCACCGTGCCCCCAGGCGGGGCGACAGGCACCGGGCCCCCAGGCGGGGCGACAGGCATCGGGCCCCCAGGAGGGGCGACAGGCATCGGGCCCCCAGGAGGGGCGACAGGCATTGTGCCCCCAGGCGGGGCGACAGGCACCGGGCCCCCAGGCGGGGCGACAGGCACCGTGCCCCCAGGCGGGGCGACAGGTCTCGGGCCCTCAGGCGGAGCGGCGGGCGCCGGACCCCCAAGCGGAGCGACAGGTCTCGGGCCCTCAGGCGGAGCGGCGGGCGCCGGACCCCCAAGCGGAGCGACAGGTCTCGGGCCCTCAGGCGGAGCGGCGGGCGCCGGACCCCCAGGCGGAGCGACAGGTCTCGGGCCCTCAGGCGGAGCGGCGGGCGCCGGACCCCCAGGTGGAGCGACAGGTCTCGGGCCCTCAGGCGGAGCGGCGGGCGCCGGACCCCCAGGTGGAGCGACAGGTCTCGGGCCCTCAGGCGGAGTGGCGGGCGATGGACCCCCAGGCGGTGCGACAGGTCTCGGGCCCTCAGGCGGAGCGACAGGTCTCGGGCCCCCAGGCGGGGCGGCGGGCGCCGGACCCCCAGGTGGAGCGGCGGGCGCCGGACCCCCAGGTGGAGTGACAGGTCTCGGGCCCTCAGGCGGAGCGGCGGGCGCCGGACCCCCAGGTGGAGCGACAGGTCTCGGGCCCCCAGGCGGAGCGACAGGTCTCGGGCCCTCAGGCGGAGCGGCGGGCGCCGGACCCCCAGGTGGAGCGACAGGTCTCGGGCCCCCAGGCGGAGCGACAGGTCTCGGGCCCTCAGGCGGAGCGGCGGGCGCCGGACCCCCAGGTGGAGCGACAGGTCTCGGGCCCTCAGGCGGAGCGGCGGGCGCCGGACCCCCAGGTGGAGCGACAGGTCTCGGGCCCTCAGGCGGAGCGGCGGGCGCCGGACCCCCAGGTGGAGCGACAGGTCTCGGGCCCTCAGGCGGAGCGGCAGGCGCCGGACCCCCAGGCGGTGCGACAGGTCTCGGGCCCTCAGGCGGAGCGACAGGTCTCGGGCCCCCAGGCGGGGCGGCGGGCGCCGGACCCCCAGGTGGAGCGGCGGGGGCGCTGGACCCCCAGGCGGAGCGACAGGTCTCGGACCCCCAGGCGGAGCAGCGGGCACCGAGTCACCAGGCACGACAGTGGGCTCCGAGTCAACTGGCATGACCGCTGGCACTAGGTCAGACATTGGATCGTCTGGCTGGACAGCGGGCATCGGGTCACCAGGCATCAGGTCATTTGGCTCGACAGCGGGCACCGTGTCATCTGGCAAGGCAGTGGGCTCCGAGTCAACTGGTATGACCGCGGGCACTGGGTCAGACATTGGATCGTCTGACCGGACAGCGGGCATCAGGTCACCAGGCATCAGGTCATTTGGCTCGACCGCGGGCACCGCGTCATCTGGCAAGGCAGTGGGCTCCGAGTCAACTGGTATGACCGCGGGCACTGGGTCAGACATTGGATCGTCTGACTGGACAGCGGGCATCGGGTCACCAGGCATCAAGTCACTTGGCTTGACAGCGAGCACCGCGTCATCTGGCAAGGCAGTGAGTTCCGAGTCAACTGGCATGACCGCGGGCACTGGGGCAGACATTGAATCGTCTGGCTGGACAGCGGGCATCGGGTCACCAGGCATCAGGTCATTTGGCTCGACAGCGGGCACCGCGTCATCTGGCAAGGCAGTGGGCTCCGAGTCAACAGGCACGACAGTGGGCACCGGGTCATCAGGTACCGGATTGTCTGGCTCGACAGCAGGCATCGGGTCACCAGGTATGACAGCGGGCACTGGTTCACCAGGCATCAGGTCATTTGGCTTGCCAGCGGGCACCGCATCATCTGGCAAGGCAGTGGGCACCGGGTCACCAGGCATTGGATCGTCTGGCTCGACAGCGGGCATCGGGTCACCAGGTATGACAGCGGGCACTGGGTCACCAGGCATCAGGTCATTTGGCTCGCCAGCGGGGCCACCGCGTCATCTGGCAAGGCAGTGGGCACCGAGTCACCAGGTACGACAGCGGGCTCTGAGTCAATTGGCACGACAGCGGGCACCGGATCAGGTACCGGATCATCTGGATCAACAGCGGGCATCGAGTCAACTGGCCTAATAGGATCGTCAGGCTGGATCAGTTCATCATGCTGGGTAGAGGCATCAGGCTGAATGCCGGCGTCCGGCTGAGTAGAGGCTTCAGGCCGAGTAGAGGCTTCAGGCCGAGTAGAGGCATCAGGCCGAGTAGAGGCATCAGGCCGAGTAGAGGCATCAGGCCGAGTAGAGGCATCAGGCCGAGTAGAGGCTTCAGGCCGAGTAGAGGCATCAGGCCGAGTAGAGGCATCAGGCCGCGTACAGGCATCAGGCCGAGTAGAGGCTTCAGGCCGAGTAGAGGCTTCAGGCTGAACCACGGAAGGAAGGCAGGCTCACCGGTTTGGATACTGGCAGGATGGTATTGGTTGGAAAGAATTTTCGCTTTTTTCTGGTTTTAACTACTGGAGCACTGCAAGTAAACGCAGGTCTGCAAACGAATGGAGCAGCTGGAGACAGAGAAGAACTGGAGGATGGAACAGGAGAGGGAGCAGTTGCTACAGAGGGCTTTTTTACAGGGTTAAAGGCAGGATAGGTGCAGCGAGTGGGAACAGGGTACTGACATGCGGTAGATAGCCAAGTATACTGGGCTGTAACTGGAGGAGCTGGTGGGAATACAGGAGTAGAGTTAGAAGCAGGACTGGGTCTTTGTAAGCTGACTGAGGCTGGGTGCAACAAGTCTGTCCATGTCTGCAGTAGGGGTTGAACAAAGCTGAGCTTAGACAAAGCCTGTCTGGTCAATGACTGCACTGCGTTTATACAATCTCTTAGTGTCTGTGGTGAACATGTGGAATAACGCTCCAGAAAGTTACCCACATCATCCTCTAATAACCACACCAGGGACTCTACCTGGTCTGCACTAAATGGTGGCAAAAATTCATCCCTGCATTCGGGGGAACCAGATGAAACCAACTCTGCACAAACCTCAATCAAAGGCTGCACCTCAGAGAACTCTGTGCCCTGATCTACTAGAACATGAGCGAGCCGTATACATTCTAGCAGTTCATCCCGGGGATACTCCTTCAGAGTTTGATAAGCATACTCCCTGTCATCAAACACTAGCAGATATAAATACGCAACCTCATCCAGATCCATCCTTCCCATCAACAAGCCAAGATGGCTTCCCTGTGCAGCCACTTCTGGTCAGGATTGGCCTTGGTGTAATGTCAGGGCTCCCAGGTATGACCAGAGGTGTGTGACTGAAGCAGGGAAACGCAGACTTCAGATATGTGATTAACAATGTAATTGTTAATCACAAACCCAACCAACCACCCACAGATAACAGTACATACAAGCAAGCGTCGTCAGGCAGGCCGAGTCAATATCAATTGGGCAGGTAGGTACAGGGGGAGCAAGCGGAGAATGGTCGGGGTCACAGGCCAGGTTCAGCAGGTAGCAAGCAGCGTAGTACAGAGGGTCAGGCAGAGGGGTGGTCAGGGTCACAAGCCAGGGATCAGAACAGGTAGCAAGCAGCGGAGTACAGAGGGTCAGGCAGGGGGATGGTCAGGGTCACAAGCCAGGGATCAGAACAGGTAGCAAAGGAACAGAAACAGGATGCAGGACAGATACAGGGCCCAGGACAAACACAACACCAAGGCAGAGTCTGTGGGTCTGGCCATCCCTTAAATACCCCAGCATCATCAGTTACAGGTGTTAGCTGGCTACAGAGTTGAGTCTCTGATTGCTGGGAACACCCGCTGGCCAGCCCTGGTACTGCAGATCAAAAGGCAGGTGAGTCCCACCATTGCTGGCCAGTCCATTCCTAACACTGAGGCTGAAGTCAGTGCATCAAGAGCCACCACACACAGACGGATCCTGGACATGGGCCTAAAATGTCGTATTCCTCTTGACCATCAAACAACGTCAGAAGCGTCTTACCTGGGCTAAAGAAAAACAGACCTGGTCTGTTGCTCAGTGGTCCAAAGTCCTCTTTTCTGATGAGAGCAACTTTTGCATCTCATTTGGAAACCAAGGACCCAGAGTATGGAGGAAGAATGGAGAGGTGCTGCAAGATGCTTGAAGTCCAGTGTGAAGTCTCTACAGTCTGTGTTGATTTGCGGAGCCATGTCATCTGCTGGTGTTGGTCCACTGTGCTTCATTAAGTCCAAGGTCAACGCAGCCGTCTACCAGGAGATTTTGGAGCACTTCATGCTTCCTTCCGCAGCTTTATGGGGATGCTTACTTCATTTTCCAGCAGGACTTGGTACCTGCCCACACTGCCAAAAGCACCAAAACCTGGTTCAACGACTGTGGGATTACTGTGCTTGATTGGCCAGCAAACTCGCCTGACCTGAACCCCATAGAGAATCTATGGGGCATTGCCAAGAGAAAGATGAGAGACATGAGACCGAACAATGCAGAAGAGCTGAAGGCCGCTATTGAAGCATCCTGGTCTTCCATAACACCTCAGCAGTGCCACAGGCTGATAGCTTCCATGCCATGCCCCATTGAGGCAGTAATTGCTGCAAAAGGGGCCCAAACCAAGTACTGAGTACATATGCATGCTTATACTTTTCAGAGGTCTGATATTGTTCTATGTACAATCCTTGTTTTATTGATTGCATGTAATATTCTAATTTTCTGAGATTGTGGATTTGGGGTTTTCATGAGCTGTAAGCCATAATCATCACAATTATGACAAATCACGGCTTGAACTATCTTGCTTTGCATGTAATGAGTCTATCTCATATATTGGTTTCACCTTTTAAGTTGCATTACTGAAATAAATGAACTTTTGCATGATATTCTAATTTTTTGAGTTTCACCTGTATGTCTTCCCCCATCAGTGAAACTAGATTTTCAATAGCTTGTTGTTCACTGTCCTGAGATAAGAATCCATTGCCTTCCTCATTACTTTCTTCCACATACCTCTCAGACTATATCAGCCTAAAATATACTTTTCCAAGGAAGAGATTAATGTCCTTATATACCTCAAAATGATTAATCACATGGGTAGGTAAAAAGGACAGACCTTTTGCGAAGTAACTTAAGATGTCTGTCCTTTAAATCAAACTGAGAGAGACTGATAATTGTCATGTCTGTAAATTCCCCATGTGAGGGATGCATGTTGTGACATAAGTCACTATTTGCGTTTCTGACTCCTGGTGACTGCTTTCAACATCTCTCCCAAGGGTTCTTTTTCCTTTTCTCTGCCTAATTTCTTCTCCTTGCTTACGCTTCTTCCTCTTCCCACTGTCTTGAGTACTCCTCTGACTTAAGTGACAACCTCTACTATCAAAGAGGGATTGTCCTCTAAAAAACTAACTGATCTGGATTCCTCATTACTGTCGGGCGAAGTGGATCTGCCTCTTGATGGTGTGCATGAATGATAACGGCATCAGCAGGTTCATCTTCACCCACGATGATTGGTTAAATCAAGTATGTCCCCACTAGCGCAATCATCCAAGTCCCTTTTTAAACAGACTGTTGAGCGAAATGCACTGATGTCACAATGTCATCATGTCCACGCTCCGGGCTGCACCACATGGCTTCTCCATCATGCCACTCCATACTAGATATCTAATATGGAATCATCTGATCCTCAGAGACGCCAGCCATAGAGTCATGCATAGAGGTTTATAGTGGCAGTGTAGCACAAATGGCCAGGACTGTCCAAATTGGAGAGACCATATCTGGAGTGGTGAGCAGTATCATACCTAAACCAGGTTGTGATTACATTGGGAGTTGGTCCAGGACTGTAATTGCTCTGGGGAGCCTTTACATCTGGCAAATTTCATCTGTATGTGTCACATGCATGGATGTGGATTTCATTGTTTTAAGCCTGCATATTGCACTCAGCTCCAGCTTGCTGCTTATGCTCTGTCTTGTCTATCCAATCCATCAATTGTGCTTTCTTCCTGCTGATATCTCCACTTTGGCTGCCGTAGCATTATAATTGCTATGATATTCTGATTGACTGACCCTCAGTGCACGTTTGATCTAAGTAAAATTCTGTTGTGGCAAAAGCTGATGTTGGGGTTGCTTTCCTCATTTGTGACTTCACTGTATCCTGGGGAGATCGCCCTGGTACACGGCCTACATGACAGTAATGTCATGTTGTGCAGGCACCTGCAGTGGCCATTTTATGGGGCATTAGAGCAGCCCAGGGGACAATTGCCCTCCGGCCCAGCTCACCCCTGAGCCACGACATCTAAGGAATGTAAGGTTCATTATTTGACTTTTTTGTCCTTAGGTTATTCATCATTAAACCACTTCAACCCCTTAGAATTTACCAATATATCCTTGGGTGAAGAGGCCGTATCAGGATCATGGCTGCAGCCATGATTTCAGTACAAAAATTTTCAGCCAGCAATGGGCTTTTCTTGTAAAGTTAATCCAAGTACTCTACAGAGAAAGAATATTTGGAATATGACAGAGGAACTTTATAGGTACTGTGACAGTAGGCAGGTGAAATCACCTGGTTGCGTCCTGGATGGACGATATATTTGTCCAAGGTTCAGGCTTTATGGGGATTTGTACCACTAGAGGGAAGTGCTGAGTCCTTCAGCACTGAGGTAATGAGCCCAGCTGAAGGTAGTGGGCTCATTAAATACCTCTATAAAACCTCCCAGAGTGCTTAGGGAGTTGCTCCACCCTGGAACCAGATCTGTGCCTGAACTGTCTGGGGAGCTGACCTGTTACCTGTGTGCAGAGAGACCAAAGCCTGTGTGGCTAGCCTCCAAGTACTAGCAACTAGGTATAGCAGCAGGCTGTACCTAGTGGGTAGCTAGGGAGAAGCTGTTGTTGCAGTAAGTAGCCAAGTTGGCCAGGATTTATTTTGATGTTTCTTTTTGTTTATCATTTTTTTCTGTAAATATTGTAAATAAATTGCACCTGTTTGTTTTCACCTCCACTATTGTTGTGCTGTGCCTATTTTGTTTTGTGTTGTGCACCCATCCAGGGGGTCACACACACCCGCTGCCGAGCTAACCCTGTTACAGTACATATATACCATTTGTTATAATAAAAAAAAGTATTTATTAACAAAACCTTAAAACCATTTGTCACAATATAAATGTTCATGCACTCATCATGTGAAGTACAGTGTATTCCCCCAGTAATCAGTAGAGGCAGCTATTATTATTGCAAACGTTGTAGGTAGCCAAATATTCTGATTTCTCCAACTGCGAGGGTTCCACCTTCCACAATTATGCCCTACATGAAATACAAATATACACCTACTGGGTACAATAGGATAAAAATCAATGTGTACACATTCTCAAAGTGGTGAAGAGAATTTCACGAGACTGGGGTGGGCCTATTTTCTGTTTAGGTGCGGGGCAAAGCTGTTGGAAGGGAACCACAACATCAGATATTGATATAGGTAACACAGATGGCATATTGACCAAGTTATTAGAAATATATACTTTCTGAGGTTCCAGAAAAAACTATGCAGTATCCTCAGGCCAATCACAGTAATTTGGACAAGAATAATGCAAATCAGGGTTTACATGAAGCCTATAGGGTAATCAGAGGGAGGCTCCTATGAGAATCTTTGAGCCATAATAATCACAATAATATTTATAAGTAGCAGGAGTAGTACATTGAAGATACTGTATAGAAAGAAAACAAACAGAGGGAGCACCGGCCTAGTGCATTACCTAAAAAACATTTATTAAAGCAATAAAAATAGGTATTGTACTCACAAACGCCAATTTTGTCAAAGGCACATCATGAAAGAAAAGCTCTGTACAATCTACACTATGTGTCTGTCCCCAATGGGAAACCTGGACTTCCAACAGGTTTAAAGCGTTTTGAGTACTTGCTTCTTCCTCAGAGGTTGGCTCTGATGAAGAGGCAATTCCTAGAAAAACGTTAGCCTGTTGGAAGTCCAGGGTTTCCATTGCGGACAGACACGTAGTGTGGATTGGACAGAGCTGTTCTTTCATGATGTGCCTTTGACAAAATTGTTGTTTGTGAGTACAATACCTACCGTATTTTTTCGGACCATAAGACGCACTTTTTCTTCACCAAAAAGTGGGAGGAAAAGTACCTGCGTCTTATGGTGCGAATAGAAGAAGTTGCAGAGCGGCAGCGGGTCCCCCGGGACCTTCCGTGTCCAGGCTTCTCAGGCGACTGCATCATCCCTCCCCCGCCCCGTGTCCAGGCTTCTCAGGCAGAGTGGCAGCGGATTCCCCCTCACCTTACCTTGTCCTCGGGAAGCCGATCTGTGCAGGAGGCGTGATGCTGCTGCTGTGTCACCGCCGTATGCTATTGGAGGATAGCATGTAGTAGGCGGTGTTACAGTACACAGCAGTGCGCATGCCCCTCTCACCTTACCTTGTCCTCGGGAAGCTGATCTGTGCAGGAGGCGCGATGCTGCTGCTGTGTCACCGCCGTATGCTATTGGAGGATAGCATGTAGTAGGCGGTGTTACAGTACACAGCAGTGCGCACTCCAGTCATCGGCTTCTGAGGTAAAATGTCGCTATACACTACACTACATTTTCCCAATAAACTGTTCCCAATAAAAAAAAACTGTTTTCCCTCTGTCCCTTTTTTCCTTTCAATTGTCACTCTTTTTCTTTTAATTGTCACTCTTTTTCTTTCAATTGTCACTCTTTTTCTTTCAATTGTCACTCTTTTTTCTTTCAATTGTCACTCTTTTTCTTTTAATTGTCACTCTTTTTCTTTCAGTTGTCCTCTTCCTTTCAATTATCACTTTTGTGATCTGAAGTACCGTACCATATACGGTACTTCAGATATATGGTACCATAAACCATACTCCCATATATGGTACCATAAACCATACTCCCATATATGGTACCATAAACCTGTATGAAAAATACCGTATACGGTATGCAGTGACAAAGCAAATGGTCAGCGGTCAGTGACAATGCACATGGTCAGTGGTCAGTGACAATGCAAATGGTGATTGCTCAGTGAAAACGCAAATGGTTAGTGCTCAATAGTAATCATTGAAGAAATTATGGTATACTGAAAGTTCCTTCATTTCTTGCAGAAAAATATTGTACCGTACTACTGTACCTCATTCTACAAAGATGCTGAAGCAGAAAAGAATAGCCTATAAAATTCCATACAAACTGGAGGTTATCAAATATGCTAAAGAGCATGGAAACAGAGCAGCGGAGAGGCATTTTGGGCCGCCTCCAACTGAAAAACGGATTAGAGAGTGGAGGAAAAAGGAGGATCGGCTGCAAAAAGAAGACAAAAGCAAGCACACTTTCCGTGGGCATGCTGCAAAGTGGCCAGAGTTGGAGGTGGACGTGAAAGAATGGATCATGCTTCATCGCAATAATGGCTTCTCCGTCTCAACAAAAATGATCATTTTTGAAGCGAAACGCATTGCTAAAGAGAGGGGCATTCAAGACTTTACAGGATCACCATCATGGTGCTACAGATTCATGAGAAGTGGTGTGGTCTTGCTATGCGTACCAAAACCAGAATTGCCCAAAAAAATGCCCAAAGAATATGAGGCTAAAATTCTGTCCTTTCACAATTTTGTTATCAAAGCCAGAAAGAAAAACAGCTTTGAAATTGGCCAGATTGGGAACATGGATGAAGTTCCGCTAACATTTGATGTGCCTTCTAATAGGACTGTCGACCTGAAGTGTGCCAAAACCATCACAGTGAAAACTTCAGGGCATGAGAAGACGCATTATACAGCTGTGTTGTCCTGCTGTGCCGATGGCACCAAATTGCCATCCATGCTGATTTTTAAAAGGAAAACATTTCCAAAAGATGCCATTCCAAGAGGTGTTGTGGTACACGTCCATGAAAAAGGATGGATGAAATGACAATGGCATGAAAATATGGGTTGAAAAGGTGTGGTCCAAACGTTCTGGAGGACTTCTGAAAAAAACTGCCCTATTAGTGCTTGACCAATTTAGAGCACATATTAGTGAACCAACCAAAAAGTGCTTCAAGGAAGTAAAGACCCATCTAGCTGTCATTCCCGGAGGTCTTACCAGCCAGTTGCAACCTCTTGATGTCTCCATAAACAAGCCATTTAAGGTCTTTATGAGAGAAGAGTGGAACAAGTGGATGGCTGATGGTAACCATGATTTGACACCCACTGGACGAATGAAGAGCCCCGCCATCACTCAAGTTTGCGAATGGGTGAAAAGATCATGGGACTCAGTGAAGGAAGAGATTGTTGTACAGTCGTTCAAAAAATGTGGCATTAGCAATGCCTTAGATGGAAGTGAAGACTGTATTTTATACGAAGACAACGAAGAAAGTGATGTCAGTGATTGTGACCAAATGAGCTTCATGAATTCTGACTCTAGCGAAGAAGAGTTCTTGGGGTTTTCAGAAGACTAGAGTACTCAAACCTTTGTCTTTATGTGTTAATGACAGTGATAATGGTTCTTAATGCCACTGTTGACTGCTGTTCAGTTTATATGGTTCAAATATTATTCTGTTATACTTTATTAAATATTTTATTACACTATTTGGTTCAGAATATTTTTTTCCTATTTTTCTCCTCTAAAAACCAGGTGCGTCTTATGGTCAGGTGCGTCTTATGGTCCGAAAAATACGGTATTTTTTATTGCTTTAATAAATGTTTTTTAGGTAATGCACTAGGCCGGTGTGCCCCCTGTTTGTTTTCTTTCTATCCAGTACATTTGGACTTCCCCGGTCCTCTGAGGGCAGCAAGGAGTGCACATTCCAGGACACCCAAGATGTGGCCATAGCCTTTATTGGATCCATTGATCCATTCCCAAGCTCAGGAGTATTTGGGTTGCTGTTGCAGATACTGTACCTTAGGTGGATGTTAAGAGATGCTGTCCTGCACGTGCATATTTTCACAGGGGCATTTACTCAACATAGGATTTAAACCATCCCATCCCATGGAATGCAATATTAAAAAATTTTCTTGTAAAAGTAATCCAAGTACTCTACAGCCATCCTGTTATTTCTACAGGGTGTTGCCCACAACACCTTTACCGGGCTCTCCCGGAACCACAGCCACTTTCTCTGATTGGGATGTGAGAGGGGAGGAACGTACATCAGTACCCGCCTCCCCTCTGTGATGTAAGAACCAGAAAAATGAGTATTTGGTCACTTCCGGTTTAGGTTTGATGTTTATGGCTTTTAAAGCATTTGATCAAACCAATCATAGGTTGATCAGATGCTTTTGAGGGAAGAACAGAGATCTGGGGTCTAATAGATCCCAGATCTCTTCATAAAGAGGACCTGTCACTGCCCATGCTATCACAAGGGATGTTGTTCATCCCATGTAACAGTAATAAAGTTAATCAAAAAACTTAAGGGAACAACATAAAAAAAGCTTTAAGTAAAATAAATAGGAAAATTAAAAAAAAAAATGTAAGTGCTCCCTGTGCTCATGCGCAAATGCAAACACATATGTAAGTCCCAAGCTCATTTATAAACAATGATCCTACCACATATGTAATGTATCGCTGCAAATGTCGGATTGCAACTACCATTTTATTCTCCAGTATCTCTGCTTTCAAAACCTATGTCATATTTGGGAGTTCTAAAAAATTATCTAGCAAAAACATTGATTTTATTATGTATGTGAGAAGTGTCAGAATTGTCCTGGTGATCAAGTGGTTAATTGTGCTTGGTGAACTGTATCTGCTTTCCGAGATTTTCCAGTCGGTCGCCATACACTGCTACAGACAGTACATTCTTTCACACTGGCACTCAGAGAGGGTGAGTTATTGGGCTGGAAATAATCATGGAATTGCTTACTGGCATTTGGGAAAAAAAATAAAAACAGATCAAGTACTTTAACAAAGTTGTATGACAGTTGTTTATGTTTCATATGACTTTATATGTATATTTTTGATTGATTTTAACTGGTAAATATTTTATATAAAAAGACATGCTCTGTTGATGAAATGTAAAGAGTTTTCAGAGTAAATGACATAAGTGTTAAGCAGGCCATAGATTATGCAATTTCCTTTCCTTCCCTCCCACAGCATTATTGTGTTCTGCCGGATGGGAGCCTTCCCCACCATAGTTATTGTTACTGGTTATACCTGGTGGCATTAATCGTTTGGGAAAAACAAGACAGGTTGTTCACAAATCGATTGATAGATTGACTTGTGTACAACCAAGGTGCCCATACATGGATTGAAATTTTTCCAGTCCCTGCTGAACCAGCCAAATTTCGATCCATGTATGGCCGGCTCTATGCAGTGAATATACAAGTGAGCAATTTAGGATATTATCAGGATAGAAACTGAATGGCTTAGAAGGGAGCAATATTGTCACCAGGCCTAGATAATAGGTTTTGTCTTTGGCATGTGTACGATATCACCTGATTTCAGATTTAGGCTATCCTACATTTTCCAGATCTCTCTTGAAGGAGGATTTACTAAAGACACAGACTGAGCACTTTGCAAGTGAAGTTGTTCCAGAGACTAGTAAATGAAGGGAGCTCTGCTGACTTCCATCATCCAATCATGTGCAAACATGCACAAAGAGGATTGTGTTGGAGGGTGGATGCCCACATGCTGGTTATGTTGGAGGGTGGATCCCTAAATGCTGGTTATGTTGGAGGGTGGATCCCCACATGCTGGTTGTGTTGGAGGGTGGATCCTCACATGCTGCTCATGTATGGTACAATGGCCACCTGACATCAAGAAGCTGTCCAGAAACAGACACCCATCTGGACCCCGACTGCAAGAGAAAGACAGTTATTTTAAACTTTTTGAGAGTTTGTGAGCTTTGTCAGTTTGGCATGGTCACAAATAAAGTTGGGTGAAAAAAAGTCTTATTTACATATAAATACTCCCAATTGTGCAACAGTCTGCCTTTTGGTCTGCAGATGTGAGCACATGGCTTGCTGCTGCCATGTTTGTTGGAGGTAACCCGACCAGCGGATGTTGGAGAGTGGATTGCATAGATCTTCTGTTACATTGGTTAAGGACAAATAGAGAGGGTGTATCTAATGGGGACAAAGACAACAATAAAAACCTGACAGGTGTTTTAATCCACCTTTATTCTATCTGAAAATTTAAAAATAAGTTTTTTTCCTTTAACAAATCAACCCCAGTGATTTCCATGTTCCAGGTTTCTATGCATTACTGTTGAGAGAACTGATCCAAAAAGGCAGAAACTACTCAAAATTGCCTATTATATTTTTACATTTCTTAACCGCCTCCCGTCCGCCATATAAGGAAATGATGGGAGGACTGTGGCTCTCTCGTTCTGGAAGGACGTCATATGACATCCTCCCACTCTAGCTGCGCATGCATGACCCCCGCTATATTATGTGCCTGAGCCGACAGGGAGGAAGACTGTTAGTAAACAAAGCAGCCCTCCTCCCTGTCAGAGATCATCGGCAATCACCGGGCGCCAGTGGGTAATCACCAGCTTGGACCCGGTGATTGACAGCCACGGCCGCAAATAGCAGCACTGGTAGGGTGCGTGCGTGGCCCTCGTATGCCCCCTACCCGGTAATACAAAATCACGTATGTATACATGATTTTGTGCACCCCCTGCTGCCCTGTAGCAGTATTTCTGCTATAGGGCTGCGGGGAAGCTGTTAAAGCAATCTACTGAGCTGGCCAGAACCAACTCTTGAGGGAGTCTATTCCACATTTCAACAGCTCTTACCGTGAAGAAACCTTTCTGTATTTGGAGATTAAATCTTTTTTCCTCCAGACGTAAAGCGTGCCCCCTTGTAATCTGTGATGACCTCAGGGTGAATAACTCTACACTGAGTTCACTATATGAACCACTGATGTATTTATACATGTTGATCATATCCCCCCTTATGTATTTATACATGTTGATCATATCACCCCTTAATCGCCTCTTCTCAAGAGAGAATAAATTCAGTTCCTCTAATCTTTCCTCATAGCTGATCTCCTCCATGTCTCTCCAGTTCCTCAATGTTCTTTTTGTGAATTAGTACCCAAAACTGAACTGCATATTCCAGATGAGGTGTGACTAATGATTTGTACACGTGGATATAATGGGTGGACCAAGTGTCTCTGCACCTGAACCCTAAATCTAGGGAGGTCATATTTAAAGGTGCAGTAGTGGAAGATAAAGTTGCTTCAGTTTTTCCAAACTGCTCCCACGTGCCAGTGTAGTTTAATTGTCAAGACACAAAGTTCCTGCGTTGGAGCCCTCAGGTAAAAGGGAATCCCATGGTACAGGATATAAGTACCCAAATTATATCCTAAGGTAAGGTGACTCTGTGCCTCCGAAAAGTGGGGGGTCAAAGCATGAAGCATATAATGTGCATGGAATTTCTTGCTCTATGTCCCTTTGAGCTGGGCTGCTTTTCACTCTTGGGATGTTTCACCTCCTTTGTCATTTTATTCAATGAAGCTCTCTACTGTCATTTCACATTTTTATCTGTAATTCCTTCATGCACATGGTGCCATATGCAGTGATGACTTGACTGTTGATTTTTTTTTACCCACTTTTTGGTCTGCCTGTGTTTTTCTATATTTTAAAACATGTCTTTGAAAAACAATTTGAACAAAAAGTGGGCCAGTGGCCTCTCACCGCCAAGTAGTCTTAGAGGAACTGAATTTATTCTCTCTTGAGAAGAGGAGCTTAAGGGGGGATATGATCAACATGTATAAATACATCAGTGGTTCATATAGTGAACTCGGTGTAGAGCTATTCACCCTGAGGTCATCACAGAGGACAAGGGGGCACTCTTTACGTCTGGAGGAAAAGAAATGTAATCTCCAAACACGGAAAGGTTTCTTCACAGTGAGAGCTGTGAAAATGTGGAATAGACTCCCTCAAGAGTTGGTTTCTGGCCAGCTCAGTGGATTGCTTTAAAAAAGGCCTGGATTCTTTCTTAGATACACAGAATATAACTGGATACTAAAATGTATAGGTAAAGTTGATCCAGGGAATATCCGTTTGCCTCTCGGGGGATGAGGAAGGAATTTTTTCCCTGCAGGAGCAAATTGGATCGTGCTTTGCTGGGTTTTTTGCCTTCCTCTGGATCAACTGTGGGTATAGGATTATAACTTTTTTTTTTTAATGGTTGAACTGGATGGACGTCTTTTTTCAGCCAGACTAACTATGTAATTATGCCTCCTCTGGCCCTCTAGCATCTGGAACCAGTGATGTTGGCAGCAATTTAGGATTCAGTAATGACAATCTTTTATGAAAATGATGTCAGTAGGGACTCAGGAACTGAGAGTGGTGATCTCTCACAGAACTGGTGATGTCAGTGGTGGCTCAGGGTCTGACAGTGGCAATCTCACACAGCTGTCACCTTCGTGTATATGTGACAGCAACCCACTATGACAGTCACCACCCACTCTTCCACTGAGATTGCCCTGAGCCCTGGCTACTGCTGCCTTTTCCTCCTCTCACCAGCACACGGCTTCTGGGCATGGTAGTCACACAGAGATCTACAACATGGAGTCCAGTCTCTATGGGGACTACTTCCCCCACAAGTCTTTGCACCTCCCAGCATTCCTCAGGCAAGGGTGTGTGGCTTTTCCTCTTCAGGCTGCATTGCAGCCAATCACAGTGTCTTTCCCCAGTGGGCAGACTCTCCTCCAGCAGCTTTGTATACAAATACAGCCCTGTCAAAGTGACAGTATCCTCTCTCTCCCTCTGTCTGCCTGAGAAGTCACTCCACACTATTCACTTGTGGCATTAGTATAGGGAATGCCATGGGGCGGGGCTACATATATTTCACCAACACGTATTTACCACATAGTAATATAGGTAAAAAATATGGTCTAGGGCTAGGTGCTAATGTATCCATAGGTCTTTCTATAATGTGTATACTACTTTGTTTCCTGTACTTACTCCTAAATTATATATTAATGTTTTGCTGTTAACATGTTGTTATAGAGAAAAAAAAAAGGCAGAAACAGCTAAACTGAACTTGTAAATGCCAGTAGAAAAATAGTAGCCATTCAGTAGAGCATACCAAAAAAAAAAGAATCAGAAATAATTCTATGAAGAGTCGTGCTGTTGCTGCTGTTTTGTAATCATGTCCTATTTTCCTCATTTTAATCAGTACCCATTGTGTCTCTTTTAGGGGGGATCCAGATAAATGTGACATTTGGGGAAACACCCCTTTGCATCTGGCTGCTGCCAATGGGCATCTAAATTGCTTGTCCTTTCTGGTGTCTTTCGGGGCCAATATCTGGTGTCTGGATAATGACTACCACACGCCATTGGATATGGCTGCCACCAAGGGCCACATGGAGTGCGTGCGTTATCTGGATTCCATTGCAGCCAAGCAGAATGGTTTAAATCCCAAGCTGGTTTCCAAACTGAAGGACCGTGCTTTCCGTGAAGCAGAAAGACGAATTCGTGATTGTGTAAAACTGCAACGCAAGCATCATGAGCGGATGGAGAGGCGTTATCGAAAAGAGATGTCTGACCGTTCTGATACCATGAGCTTCTCTAGCTTTTCAAGGTACCTGAATATCTCCTCCCTTACTGTAATGACACTGTACTTGTTACTCTGCACTCTGCTCCATAGAGTTCATGTCAGAGGTTCACCTTCGCACACCATAAAAAGGAAACATCATTGATGAACCAGGTATGCTGCTATATTAAATACATTACTCTTATATTTAATAATATTAAAAACAAAAAATGGTTCAGAAAATTCTACCAATGCCAAAGGATTTCTAATTTTGGGCATTTGCACAATACACTCCCACCTGGCAGCACTAGGGTCGTTGGTTCGAATCCCAACCATGGCACCACCTGCCTGGAGTTTGCATGTTCTCCCTGTGCCTACATGGGTTTCCTCCGGGTACTCCGGTTTTCTCCCACACTCCAAAGACATGCTGATAGGTTAATTGGATCCTGTCTAAATTGGCCCTAGTATGTGTATGTATGAATATAAGTTAGGGACTTTAGATTGTGTGCCCAGTGGTGTATTTTGGTTTTGTGCTGCCCTACGCAAGAGTAAAATTGGGTGCCCCCCTCCATCTGAATTTGTCCCACCCCAGCCACAGAATATCGTTCTTGTCGCAGGGTCTGATGAGGAAGTTGCAGATGTTCACAGTGAACATCTGTGGCTTCCTCATCAGACCCTGAGACATGATTCATCCAAGTGCCACATATGTGGGCAATGGTGCAGAGGATGGGGTCAGCGGGACATAGGATGGGGTCAGCATGGCAGAGGATGGGGTCAGCAGGGTATAGGACAGGGGTCAGTAGGGCAGAGCTTGGGGTCAGTGGGACAGGGGTTGGGGTCAGCATGGCATAGGATGGTGCCAGCGGGGCAGAGGACAGGGTCAGTAGGGCAGAGCAAGTGGTAAATGGGGCAAAGGATGGGGTCAGCGGGGCAGAGAACGGGGTCAGCAGGTCTCTCTCTCTCCCTCCTATACACTATACACACTCTTCTCTCTCTCCCTGCTGTTCACTATACACACTCTTCTCTCTCTCCTGTGCATTATACACACTTCTCTATATACAACTCTGCACAGTTATTTCGTCTCTCATGCCACTACTCCCCCCCAACCTCAACGTCACGGCTCCCCTTCCACCCCGCCTTTTCCAGAAACCCTCTCTCTGCTCGCCTCCCGCCTGCTGCTTCTCCTCACTCTGCCCTCAGACCCTTACAGTTTAGGAGCAGAGGCGGCTCTTCAATCAGGTAAAGTAGGCAGCCGCGAGGTCTAATTAAAGAGCCACCTCTGCTCTTCTACCTGGGGGTGGCGCCACCCTCCTGATAAAAGCCGCCCAAGACAAACACCTTGTTTGCCTTGCGGCAGATATGCCCCTGTGTACGCCTCTTGAGGGTTAGGGACTGATGTGAATGCACAATATATATATAAAGCACTGTGTAAATTGACGGCGCTATAAAGGAACCTGTAATTAATAAATAAATACACACGCTTGCTTGGCATTCCACAGTCACAGTTACTCCATTTACAATAGGATAAAGTGCACCAGGAGAATGCTGCAGTCAGTGAACATCTATCACATATAAAATGTGAAGAATGATAATTCCACTCAGTGTTGCCAACCTCCCAAAGTAAAATTTACTGACAGGATACCAAAAATTCACTGACAGCAGTATTTTTTTTACTGGCAAAACTCATGAAATTTACTGAAAGAACCCATTTTTCTACTGGCACTTCAAAAAGTACATAAAATAACCATTTTCAGTGCAAAACACTGCAAATAATATTTAAGTTGCACACGTAGCTAGTGTGATTAGCAATGTGTTTAAGGTGTAACAAAGGCAAAAAATATATTTCTCTTTTTACATGAAGGTCCAGATAATATAAACCAACACAGATTCCCTCCTACATCAGAGTCTGCAAGGTTCCCCTTTACCACTGGGGACTCTGCGGACCCTGAAGTAAAGGGAACTCTGATGTAAAGGAGAACGCTGATGAGTATGATGTAAGGGTGAATGCTCCAGACTTTGGTATAAAAGGAAACTCTGATATAACATGGTTTCTGGTCACCAGAGCCCCCCTTAATCATCCACAGCATTCCCCTTTACATTAGAGTTCCCATTTACATCATGGTCTGCAGCATTTTCCTTTACATCAGAGTTCCCCTTTACATCCGGGTCTGCAGAGTTCCCCCTTGCACTGTAAGGGGGAATCCTGCAGATTTAGATGCAACGGAGAACTCTGAGGACACTGATTTAAAGGGGAATGCCGGGAACTCTGATGTGAGGGGGACTCTGGTGAATACACAAAGGTAAGAAGGAGTTACCGATATAAGGGGGAATCTTTATATCAGTGTCCCCCTTACCTTACTGTATTCTATCCCCTTACATCAATGACACTCCCCCGACTGGCCTTATGCCGCTGTCACTGACCTCCTCTCAGGTGCAACGTGCAGGGCTCAGTCAGATGGTCCTCTTCGGGCCCCAGCTTGGTGGCTCTGGTTTCATCCTATATTCTCCTCTCCAGTCCACACACGTCTGACTCCTCCCATCACTCCCATCCCGGCAGCGCTCCCCCTCTTGACTCCTCTCCAGGCTCCCCCTCAGAGACTTCAGACGTGATACAAGAGATGGTCAGAGATTGTGGAAAAGATACAATAGATAATAATCATAGATTGCAGACATAATACAGGAGATGGTCAGAGACTGCAGACGTGATACAAGAGATGGTCAGAGACTGCAGACATAATACAGGAGTTGGTCAGAGACTGCAGACATGATACAAGAGGTGGCCAGAGACTGCAGGCATGATACAGGAGATGATCAGAGATTGCAGACATGGTACAAGAGATGGTCAGGGACTGCAGACATGATACAGGAGATGATCAGAGATTGCAGGCATGGTACTAGAGATGGTGAGGGACTGCAGACATGATACAGGAGATGATCAGAGATTGCAGACATGATACAAGAGGTGGCCAGAGACTGCAGGCATGATACAGGAGATGATCAGAGATTGCAGCATGATACAAGAGGTGGCCAGAGACTGCAGGCATGATACAGGAGATGATCAGAGATTGCAGCCATGGTACAAGAGATGGTCAGGGACTGCAGACATGATACAAGAGATGGTCAGAGACTGCAGACACAATACAAGAGGTGGTCAGAGACTGCAAACATGGCAAAAGAGGTGGTCAGAGACTGCAGACATGGTACAACAGATGGTCAGAGACTGCAGACATAATACAGGAGATGGTCAGAGAATGAGGACATGATGCAAGAGATGGTGAGAAACTGCAGACATGATACAAGAGATGGACATGACCAGACACCTCAGTGACAGTCTCCAGGCAGGCCCGGCCCCCAGCAGCCCCCTTCCTGGCTCAGGGAAAGGAGGGCAAGAATGGGTACACATGAAACTGAATTTGACTTGCAGGCAGCACAGATGATGACAACCTCACCTCCTCCAGTGACAGTCTTTCCTATCACGAAGGCTCTGCTGCGGACAGTCCTGGGCTTGGTTCCATCCACAGTCCACCACCACCAGTATCTGGAGGTATTTATGGCGGCTGCTGGTGGTGGCAGGAAATGCACCAGCCACCAGGACATCAAGATCAGACACCGCCTCCCGTACACAGTAGCAGTGCATGGAGCCTCAAAAGATCTGTCAGACGGCTTTCTCTCAACGGGCATTCTTCGCTCACTTGTCTTCTGACATTTATGGAGAGGAAAAAAGTGCCAAACAGTCTGTAAAATAACAAGCGATTGGCAACACCAATTCCACTACAAGAGAATCTGCTGCCAATGACTCTCCATGGTGTTGAAAATATGTTTATACATTGCTAAAATACTTGGGGGTTTATTTATAAAAAACTTGCTGCACAAATGTCAGAAACATTCATCCAAATTGAACAAAATGTCACCATATATTTTCAAATAGATTAATTTATCATCAGATGCATCTAGTGGCCAAAATGCAGTATAATTTCCCAATGAGTTGTTTCAGAAAACTATACTGCATTTTTCTACTAGGTGGAGCTAATGACACAGGAATTAATCTATTTGAAAAAAAAAACCTGAAATTTAGTGCAGCTTTCATGAATATTTCTGATATTTGTGCAACAAATGTTTTATAAACAGACCCCCAGGAATGTTATATGTTACGTAGATGGTTGCTGCACTCCTATCCAGTTCACTGTGCATGTGAGTAAATAAAGCAAATGGACACCCACAATGTTGATAAAATCTTGTATTAGGTCAATCGTTAGATAAGTTTTTAAGTCTATATTTTACTAATATCTACTGTCCAAGTTCCAGCAAAGGTGTCACAGCAGACTGTGTCCAGGCTTGGAAATCTGTCCCTAACCACAGGTAGCCCCGTGGTGTGTGGCTACATGCAAACAGTGGCTGTCAGCCTGTCCTTGGTTTGTATAGGCTGAGGTCACCACTATTCACATGCCATGTCATTCCAGCCAAAAGGATTTGCTGATTCTTGCCACTGGAATCTAATGAATGTGGCTAAACGGTTATATGAAGGAGGCCAGATAATTCCTGGGAAGGCCCACATTTGGACTGATATGTAAGGAATAAGGTGCAGCTTGGCAGACTTTCACCGTTCAGTCATTGGTAAACAAAAATGCTTTTTCTTATGACATGTGATTGGGTTTTCTTTGCAAAGTGAAATCTAACTTCATTCACTAAGCTCTGGAGCAATTTACCAGAGGGAGGGAGGGAAGTGCAACTTCCCTTACAAAGTGAACAGCCTATTTGCCTTTAGCAAATCAATCTCATAGAGTGAATGTTCAGCAAATAATTTTGGGCAAATGTTGGGTAAAATGATCATGAAATCTGATAAATATTACCCATGTTCTCTCTCCTCAGCCCTTTTAATAAACAGGTGCATTTTGTCTTCTCTTTTTCCCAGCTCAGTGAGCCAGCGCTTCCCCAGTGCCACATTACTTGCCACCATGCCATATTCTCACACTGCAGGCACCACAAAGGGCAAATCAAAGGTGCAAAAGAAACTGGAGAAACGGAAGCAGAATGATGGAACTTTTAAGATATATGAAGATGGTCGGAAGAGTGTGCGCTCACTTTCTGGACTTCAGTTAGGAAATGATGTCATGTTTGTGAAGCAAGGCACCTATGCCAGTTCCCGGGATCGAGGCCGACAACATCTCCGGGATATGTTCGTTCATGAGGAGGATTCATTATCAAGGGCTGTCAGTGACCCCGGACTACATGTCGATTCTGCTCACTCTGAGGTCAGCACTGACTCTGGGCATGATTCACTTTTCACCAGACCAGGTCTTGGCACTATGGTTTTCAGGAGGAACTATCTAAGCAGTGGGCTGTTTGGAGTAGGCAGGAAGGAGGACAATGGACATACCATAGAAAGTGAACAGGTGAAGCTGCGGAGTAGACTCAAACGTTCTTCAAGTTTGGACGATAGTATTGGCAGTGCCAGAAGCCTGCAGGAGAGAAATGAGCGGGAGCTGCCTTGGGAAGAGGAAGAGTTAGGGTTGGATGATGAAGAGGAACCTGATACCAGCCCTCTAGAGACTTTTTTGGCATCACTGCAGATGTCAGAGTTTTTCACCCTTTTGCAGGGTGAGAAGATTGATCTGACAGCTCTGACACTTTGCTCAGACAATGACCTTAAAGGTATACACATTCCCTTAGGACCTCGCAAAAAAATCCTTGATGGAATCCAGAGGAGAAAACAGGCACTAGATAGACCCCAATCAATAGGAGATACTGAGCTGTAAGTATTTTTAATGCTAAAACACTCTTGAATAATCTACTTTTATCTGAAGGGATGATGGTAAATTATATTTACTGTAGGTAGTTCTATAGAAGCATAACTGGAGGATTCAAGCAAACTTTTGGGTCCAGCAGGAAAATTTTCATAACAGGTTGCTAACTGACTGTAAATCTCAATAGGTTAACATGGATCCTGTCATCTGTGGCTATTGCAATATACAAATTTAGCAATGCTTTACTACAAAAGTACCATTTTTGCAGTCCATTAAACTTCATCAAGTCAAAATATTTTGCTGGTTTTTTTTGGATAGAGTAGGAGATGGCTAGAATTCATGTAAAGTTAGTTTTTTCGGAAATCATCTCTTGGACAGTGGTCACCCGAACAGATGTCTTCAATGGCTGATTTCCTGTAACATCTTGTTTCAGTGACACACATAAAATTACGGACTTCCCATTACTTTCTGTCTCATTCATGATGCTCACCAGACATAGGGGTGGGATGGTGGCACTGGATTACAAAATAAATCTGCAATAGCAGCTTTAAAGTGGTTGTAAGCATCAGACATGAAATATGAACAAAGCATGTGCATGTATCTCAGTTAAAAACACTAAATGCTTTTTTTCAAAAATAGTAGAGTTAGGGCTGATAACAGCTGTACCACATCATCATAACAGGGTGTACCACAGGTGTACCACAAAGCTAATCATAAAAGCCAGATAAGGGAGTAGTTCCCTTTTGTATCAATTCAGTGATATTCAACTTGTACTTTTGTTGGACAATCAGCTCTCAGAGCTCTCCTCACTGAGCTCTGCAGAGTGTAATTTCAGTTGTCCACCCCCTTTTTTTCTGACAGCTCAGACAAGCTTTATAAATTATGGATTTTGCATAGTTGTAGAGAAGAGATACTGCAGATAAACAGGTACAATTCCTAAGGAGGATTTGTTTCATCTCTGTTTATCACCTGAGGCCAGTCATTTCATTGGGTATATGTAAGGGTTTACAACCACTTTAAGAGTGTTTGTTTTAAAATTAATCAGCAGAGAAAAAAGAGAAAGGAAAAAAGCCTTAAGGACATTCAGCCAAAAAGGCTCAAAAAAATTTGACCAACAGAGAAAAAATATCCTTACACTATAGAATATGAATACTAAATAATGAGGGATACCTCTCTCACTGTGCACAGGCTATGGATATTCCCATGTGAATGTCAGAACAAATGGGTGTTTGGTTGGATTAACCACCAGGTTGTTAGGGAGCCAGCACTCACCAGCATCCTAATAACCAATGACTCATACCTGCCCAGCACATTCAGCTGTCAGTTGGGGATTCCTGGCTAAAAGCTGAATGTAAAAAAAAAAGGACAACGTAAAAAAGACAGCATAGTGCCGTGCCTCCCCCCAATTCTTTCCAAGCCCTTCCAGTCTAGCATGAATTTAGGGGGTTGTCAAAAAATGGTGTGGGGTCTCATTCAAAATTTATTCCAAGCCCTACAAGTCTGGGACCCCATGAAAAAGAAACTCTGAAAGCTTATAAACATAGTGCAGTGACTTCATATTATTTCCCCTTCTGGGAATGTCTTTAGCCCTTAGCAGCCATTCTCAGCCAGGGTTTCATGGAACCCTAAGGTTCCTCCAGGGGTTGTAAGGGGTCCTTCTGGCTGGATGACCTTCCATTTGATGGTACCTGCATAGTTACAGCCAACAGCATGAAAACAGTTATCTCTTTTATCTGTCTGTAAGGGTTGCATTACTCCTACTGACCAACAATGTAAGGGACCATTGACTCTTTACTTTAGGGCTTTCTAAAAAGCTGAGAAAGGCTGTCCTATAATGCTAGGCAATTTTCTCAATTGTTTGAATGTTCTTTAACCACTTGCAACCACTTGCCCTCCAGTGGAATTACCCCCTTCCTGACCAGGCCATTTTGTACAATATGGCGCTGTGTTACTTTACTGACAATTGTGTGGTCATGCTAGTAATGGCGGCGATCAGTGACCTATAGCGGGACTATGGCAGGCATTCTGACACTGGGGGGGGGACTGATTAACTGTCACTGATATCCCCAGTGATACTAATACAGTGATCAGTGCTAATAAAAAGCACTGACACTGTACTAATGGCACTGGGCAGGAAGGGGTTAACATCTGGGGCACAGCATGCTGGAGCTGATAGGGGACAAATCTGTATTGTTTACAAACAGACCTCATCCCCGTCAGTGTTCCTTGGCATTTGCCATGTAATCTCCGGCCAGGACCCGATGATCAATAGCTGTAGCCACCAATGATGGCACGGGTAGGGCATGAGCGCCCCCTACCCGGAAATACAAAATCACGTATATATACGTGATTTTGCACAGCCCTGCAATCCTGTAGCTATAGGGCAGTCGGGAAGCGTTTAACTCCTATGATTTTTTTTTTTTCTCTTAGGATCGAATGTTAGGGAACATTAGTTTCACCCTGCAAAAGGCAAAAGTAACTGACATTTCATACATATCATATACTGTACATTATGGGTATTATTTGTCACTTTTGTGCAAATGCTCAAGCATGTGAAAGCAACATTTTTTTCCTACATACAGTGGATATAAAAAGTCTACATACCCCTGTTAAAATGTCAGGTTTCTGTGATGTAAAGAAACAGTAAAGTTAAGGCTGATAACAGGTGTACCACATCATCATAACAGGCTGTACCACAGGTGTACCACAAATCCAATCATAAAAAGCCAGATAAGGGAGTAGTTCCCCTTTGTATTGTCTTTGATTTATCATTGTCTCATTTGTATAAATGAGACAATGATAAATCGTTTCAGAAATTTTCCACTTTTAATGTAACGTATAAACTGTACAACTCAGTTGAACAACAAACTGAAATCTTTTAGGTGGAGGGAAGTAAAAAAAAAAAAAACTAAAATAATATGGTTGCATAAGTGTGCACACCCTTAAACTAATAGTTTGTTGAAGCACATTTTGATTTTATTCCAGCACTCAGTCTTTTTGGATATGAGTCTATCAGCATGGCACATCTTGACTTGGTAATATTCGCCTACTTTTCCTTGTAAAAAACACTCCAAATCTGTCAGATTGTGAGGGCATCTCCTGTGTACAGCCCTCTTCAGATCACCCCACAGATTTGCGATTGGATTCAGGCCTGGGCTCTGGCTGGGCCATTCCAAAACTTTAATCTTCTTCTGATGGCCAAAAAGTTCAACTTTGGTTTCATCAGACCATAACACATTTTCCCACATGCTTTTGGGAGACTTCAAATGTGTTTTTGCAAATCCGGTCTTGGATGTTCTTCTTTGTAAGAAAAGGCTTCCGTTTTGCCACTCTACCCCATAGCCCAGACATATGAAGAATACAGGAGATTGTTGATACATGTACCACACAGCCAATACTTTGCCAGATATTCCTGCAGCTCCTTTAATGTTGCTATAGGCCTCTTGGCAGCCTCCCAGACCAGTTTTCTTCTTGTCTTTTCACCGATTTTGGAGGGACTTCCAGTTCTTTGTAATGTTACTGTTGCGTCATATATTCTCCACTTGATGATGACTGTCTTCACTATGTTCCATGGTATATCTAATGCCTTGGAAATTCTTTTGTACCCATTTCCTGACTGATACCTTTGAACAATGAGATCCCTCTGATGCTTTGGTAGCTCTCTGCAGACCATGGCTAGTGCTGTAGGATGCAACTAAGAAAATGTCAGGAAAGGCCTACTAAAACAGCTGAACTTCATTTGGGGTTAATCAGAGGCACTTTAAATGATGGCCGGTGTGTACTGACTCCTATTTAACATGATTTTGAATGTGATTGCTTAATTCTGAACACCGCTACATCCCCATTTATAAGAGGGTGTGCACACTTATGCAACCACATAATTTTAATTTTTTGATGAATGGCACTGACACATGTATGGTACGTTGCGATAACATCTGCATTAATATAAATGCCTACTTGTGAATGGAATGGCCATTACTTGTTTATCGCTTGATCCTATCATGGTGTAGAGCAGGGGTGTCAAACTGATGGCCCTCCAGCTGTTGAGAAACTACAAGTCCCATCATGCATCTACCTTTGGGGAGTCATGCTTGTAACTGTCAATCTTGCAATACCTCATGGGACTTGTAGTTTGGCAACAACTAGAGGGCCACCAGTTTGACACCTGTGGTGTAGAGTATGATTTGTGTCCCTGCTGATAAAAATACACATTGTCTTGTTTTTATTACAGATAGTGGCATGAAATGAGCGAGCAAAGACTGAATTACAGTGCCAGAAACTCGATGGGCTTTTACCAAGACAGTGACTGCCCCAGGCCAAAGATGTGCCACTAGAGGAGACCCACAACTCTCCCGCAACTTGTGGGTCACTCAGGTGCCAAGAACCTCTACCTCTCTCCTCAGGTTTTACCGTCTCTTCACGTGGAAGGAAATCTGTTCCTGAAATCCTTCTGTTTACTTTCTGTATTATTTGTACAAAGAATTCCTAGGATCCTTCCCAGATCTGCTGTGAAAACACAAGAGGTATCAGCTTTGAATATCATTAAAGGGTTAAGTCTCTTATACCAAATAACTGTCTATGCAGCTAAGGGGTGTCTGTAGATAAAAACAAACATTGATACTTTGACTAAAGTTGAATAAAGAACTTATTTTAGGTGTAGGCCATTTACGTACCTCCTGAAGCCTGGTGGAGATGGCATCATCCTGCTTTGCCTTGTTGCTAGGATGTTCCTGAGACATTCGCAGCCAATTCAGACCCCTCATGTGTGCTCTCTCTCCTCTGTCCCAGTAGCTCTGACCTCAGCGAGAGGAGATAGTAGACCACACATTCAGGAATTTGAGAGCTCGCTCCTGTGATGGTGGTGTGAACAGTGTTGGCTGTGGAGTGTCTTGGCAACATTCTAGACAAGATGGTATGACGCCATCTCTGAGTTTTTCAGCCAGGCATCAGGAGGGTACAGTATGTTAATGGTCTACATCTATAGCAAGGGCATTATCCAACTTTAATTATAG